AAATCAGAGAGGACAAAATGGAGGAAGTGGTACCTGAGCTAGGTCTTGAAGAAAAAGAAGGATGTCAACAGGAGAGGATTGTTGGAGGTGGGAGAAATCACAGGATCATAGGTGTAGAGTTAGAAAAGACTTCAGGGCCACTGAATTCAACCCCCTCATTTTGCAGATGAGGAATTCTTCAGGTTAAGTAGTTTGCTCAAGGTCACACAGATAGCCACTAGCAGAGTTGGGGGTTTGAACCCACGTACCTCTGTGCTTTCAGACACAGAGGATGGGTGTGTACAAATTTACAAGGGCAGGAGAGAGTGCTGAGATGTGTGTTTACATGTGGGTTGTGTATGCATCTGATTCTCAGGGTGAGTGTACACTAGGTTCTCTGTGGGCAATTGTGTTTACTGTCTGTGTTTTTTTTTTCCCTCTCTCTTTTTTTTGCACCTGGGTCAAAAATCTTTACATTTTCCCTCCACCCCACTTCTCTTTCATAGTATAACTGGTTAACTGGTCCTGGATCTGACCTCTGGGGAACATTTGAACTTATCTCCCCTGAAAGGGGGTGGGGACAGAAGGGCAAGGGTTAGAGCCCTGACAAATTTAGAAAGTCAGAGAAGCTCATGGTGGTGATGATGGGTGGGAAGTGATTTTCAGATCAGGGATTGACTTGCCTCTTTATTTGTATCCACAGCACCTAGCATAGTGCTTGATATATAATAAGTGCCTAGTGAATGCCTTTTCATTCACTTGTTCATTCATTGGAAATCTGGATATCAAGCCACCCTCCAGCCAGGGGCTCCTTTCCCTTTTCCAGTTCTTTATCCAGGCAATATGCAGGGAGTCAATACACTACAATAGGGACCCTGGATAGGAAAATGAAGAGTAGAAACTTGAGTGTCCTGGGGGTTCAGGTCTAACTTCTGGAATGCAGCTGGACACCCCTGCTTCCTCTGTCTGGCCTCCCAGTTCTTCTGCTCTAAAGTCTGGCTCAATGTGCTGCTGGACTGCTGGAGTGTAGCAATGTGTATTTTAAAGGAAGGGGTGTGGGGAAAAGGGGCAACAGAAAAGGCCCCCTGCAGGGAAGAAGGCTTGTTGGCAGGAGCCCCAGTTTCCTGAGCTGATCCCCTTTCCTTACCACCCTCCCCCATCTTTGTTGTTTCAATAACATCATTTCTGTCCCCCCCACAGTGAGATCTGAGAGCCAGAGAAGGAAGGAGCAGGGACTTGGTGGTGGTGGTGGGGGCATGGTTAGGGGAGCATAGTGGGGAGAGGTGCAAGAGCTGAGGGTTGTTGGAGAACAGGGGATTATGTCCTATTGGAGGTTAGTTCTTCCCTGGGCAGATTTGGGGTACCCCGCTGCTCAGATTGGGGCAGGGCAGTCCCTGAGCCCTGGTCCCCTGACAGCAAAGACAAATATATTAAAATTCTTGCTGAGGAGAAGAATGCAGGATAGGGAGAATGTTTCATAATCTCTAATAACAGTGGTGGGTGGGGGCAGGGGGCAGGCAAGGAGGGCTCTGGACAGAGGGAGTGGGCCTAGCTGCAGGCTTCTCCTTGGGTCACCTGGGGCCTTCCCTTAGGGGTGCTGACCCCCAAGTCCTCTCATCCACCTGTGCTTCTGGCTGGGTCTGCATGTTCCTCAGTTTGTTTATGTCTGATTGTTTATCTCTCTCTGAACTCTTGTACATGAATTGGGTTGTCTCGTTCTGTGGATACTGCCCTATCACAGCAAAACATTTGTTAAAAATAATTCATATGGCTTATTTTGTGTTTCATTTGAATTCTACTCGTTAAATGTTAAACTACATCCCTATCTGCCTGTTCTATCTGTCTCTCTCCCAATGCCCCCCCCCCCCCACTCCTGTCTCTAAGTATCCACTAGCCTCCAACCCTTTCCAAATCTGCACAGGCTTTTGCCCCTCTCCCCTAATACCCTCTCCACTTCAACTTGATTTCTCTTAGTGCTCCCCATTGGCCTCTGCCCTTCTTTCTCCTTTGTTCTCCTGGTCTCTGCTCCTCTCCCCTCAGTGCACCCACAACTCTTGCCCTCTGTACTTGGTGCCTATCAGCCCCAGCCCTCCCCTTCAGTGTGCCCTTCCTCCTAATCATGACCCTTCCTCAGGGTCCACCAAGTTCCTACTCAGCTCCCTCATTTGTAAGGGGAAGAGATTAATCATTTATTAAGGGGTGACTATGTGCCAGGCATCGTGCTAAGTGCTTTACAAATATCTCATCTGATTCCTTGTACGGTGGAGAGAGAATTTATTCTCGGAGTCAAAGGACCCGTGTTCAAATTCCACCTCTAACACTTGCCACTGGTGTGACCTCGGGCAAATAATATAACGTCCTCAGGCCTTAATTTCATTTGTAAAATAAAGGGGTTGGATTAGGTGGTTTCTGAGGTCTCTTCCAGCTTTATACCTATGATCCTAGCTATGGGAGTTTAGGCAAGTCATTTAACGTCCTTGGGCTTTCTAGATTGGGTAATCTCTAAGGTCCCTTCCAGCTTCAGACCTATGGTGCCATGAGCCTTCTGCCTACTCCTATCAGTCCCCATTCCTGTGCCAAGGTTCTCTCGGTTCTTCTCCCTTCAATGTCCTGCAGAGCTCCTGCCGCTCTCCCTCAGGGTCTCTATAATCCCTGCCTCCTTTTTTCCCAATATTCTCTCCTCTAATGTTCACCATCCTCTCTCCACCCATCTCACCTCCTCATACTAGTCTCTGTCCCTTTGCCCTAGATTCTCCTTCCACCAGTATCTCCCTTTCTCAGTATCCCCTCAGCCCTGGCTCCTCTTCTCCACCGTTCCCTAGCCTTTCTCTTTGTATTGCTTCCCCATTTTACCCCAAGGATCAACCCCCTGCACCTCTCCCTCTGCTCCCAGTGCCTCTCCAGGTCTCTGAGTTCATAAAGGGCATGTTCCTCTCCCCCATTGTCTCTCCCCACCTCTTCCCCTGCCCTTCAAAGCCCTTTCCCTTTCCCCTCATCATCTCTCAGTCCTCATCCCTTGCTCTTCTTCCTCACAGCCCCTATTCCTTATTCCACTATGTCCTCAGTCCCTAGGTCTTATTTCCCCCACCCCATCTCCCTCTCCCTCCCTATTCTTTGTGCCTGCTGTTCTTTTGCTCTTTTCCAGTGCATTTTTTAAATGGTACTTTGGGACCTCGGTCTGTGAATACAGCCAGGCTGGATCTTTACTTCTGTCCCTGTTGCTCTATCTGTTTTCCCCTGGTGTCTGGCCTTTCTTCATTCTCCAGCTTTCTCCCTTTCCTAGTTGTATTCCATCTGCAGATTTTCCCTCCCACCTCTCCTCTTCTTTGATTGACTTTTCTTCTTCATTCTATTTCCCTTTGCCCCATAGAGTTCTTTTGTCTCCCAGTCCCTAAGCCAGTGGAAGTGTCTCTGTTCGTCCCACTCGCTGCTTGTTCCTTTCTCTTTCACTAAGTGAGCTGCGGAAGGCTCCTGATTCCTCCCCTCCCCCCAGCTCTCACTCCATCTCCTGAAGTTGAAATGAAAATTCCCTGGATCTTCCTCCCACCCGTGTTGGCTAAGGTCTCTCCTCTAAGGGCTCTGAGCTACTCGGCTTGCCTCAAACAACGCTTTCCTGCCCTGAATCCCGCCCCCATCCCCAAACTCCAAGGCACCTTAAAGTTGGGGCCAGGGCGGACAGGGACTGCTGTTCTCTTCTGGAATCCTGACCTCCATCCGTCTCTCGGCACCCGTCGGGGGGCACTTTGAGGGACCCCTGCCTGCAGGGGGAGGAGGTGAGCCCTTCAGTGCCCTCCCCTGAACCTAGGTGTGATGAATGGTTCTGTCCCCCCTCCTCGCCAGTTGCTGGCCCCCTCCCCACAGGGCCCTTTGATCTCTCCCAGTGGGGAGGGGGCCGGGGGCATCAAAGGCATTTTTGTGGCATTAGAGAATCAGATAAACGCGGTCTCACCTGCAGCTGGGCTCCCCCACCCCCACAACACCGCCCAGCGGCTGCCAGGGGCGGATGCCGGGTGGGAGAGGAGGTGGAAGGGCAGGCTCAGGGAACCAGGGATCCTCTGGGGCTGAGCTGGTGCTCACCCCGGCACTGCTACAGAATGTGGGGAGAAATCTTTGGTCTCTACCTCTGAAGCCCACCAGCCTCCCGACGATCCCCAGCCCTTCCCCCTACCCCCTCCCGAGTGAAGGTGGGAGGAAGAGTAGCAGGGCCGTCAGGGCACAGTCTCACTTCTCAGGAGGGAGGGAGGTCAGGGGAACTTCCTTGGCAGTGAGGACCATGGAACTGGTTGACCAGAGGAAGCTGCGCATAGATCACTGGATTTGGAGCTACAGGAATTGAGTTCGAGTCTCGATTCGGTTACTTGCTCTTATGTGACCTTGGGCAATCACTTCATCTCTCTGGGTCTCAGTTTCCTTGTCCGTATAATGAGAGAGTGTGTGGACTAGATTATCTCTAAATTCTCTTCCAACTCTGAAGTCTGTGGATTTTCTTCCCTGGGGATGCTTCTACTCTGGGAGAGTCTTCTGAGAGCTTTGCCTAGGACAGAAATCAAAAAGTCTGCAGGCAGAGGGAGAGAGCAGAGGACCTTTGTAAGGAACAGCTAGCCTCAGGAGGTCTGCGATTCTAAGTTAGGCACCCCTGTCCTTCTAGGCCCCCACCCCGTCTCCCCCTCGGGCCCTGGGGCTGCATATTCCTCCAACTCCCCCCCCCCC